TTTGGCGCGTGCACAACCAGCCGATAAGTACATACTTGTTAAGGGAATAATCAACAGCAAGCTTAATCCTGCACGGTTATTTTTTATCAGTTAGCCAAGAGAACATAACCTGAATCAGTTGAAAGCTTCGAGTTGGAAGTAAATTTTGTCCATGTCACGATTTCAGTACAAGGAGTGCAGTTAATGATGCGATTTATAGGGAAATTGTTGCTGTGACAGGCGATGGCACGAACGATGGTCCTGCTCTCAAAAAGGCTGATGTCGGCTTTGCTATGGTAAAATTTTTTACTTTTTCACATTCACTACAAGATCAGCGAAGAAAACTCGTTAATCAAACTTATTTCACCGGTATATTAGCTTGGTTTTAGTTCGTTGCAACATGTTGATTTCATCGACATCGTGGAATGATCATCGAATTATTCCAAAAATTATCAGTCATGAGAACATTTTAAATTTCAGGGTATCGCTGGGACGGATGTAGCAAAAGAAGCATCCGATATCATTCTGACTGATGACAACTTCACATCAATCGTGCAAGCGGTTAAGTGGGGCCGCAATGTGTATGATTCCATCTCAAAATTTCTCCAGTTTCAATTGACTGTGAATGTGGTTGCCGTAATGACTGCTTTTGTTGGTGCTTGTACGGTGTCCGATTCACCACTGAAAGCCGTTCATATGCTATGGATCAATCTCATTATGGACACACTGGCGTCGTTGGCGCTGGCCACCGAAAGACCAACTGATGATTTGTTGAATCGAAAACCGTATGGTCGTAACAAGTCGTTGATCTCACGAACGATGGTCAAAAATATCGCATCGCATGCAGTCTATCAGATGATCATTCTTTTCACACTTTTCTTTTACGGTTAGAGGAATTTCCAGTAGCATTCTTATTTCGTCTCGAAACTGCACGAAATTTGAGGGGCATTCAATTGATCCTTAAAAATAAGTGAATTTAGCGTATCAGTGGTCAGTATTTATTGCCACCCTGCACACAATGAAGAAAGTTTTCAAATTTGGCCTCAGGAATTCACACGTTTTCACTGTATGATCCCAAGATTTGTTCGTGAACGCTGTGCGAGAATTTGGTTCGCAAACTTGATAAACAGACTTTTGTTCCAGGACATCGACTTTTCGGTATTAAGAGTGGTCTATACGCGGCACTGTTTGCACCGCCCAGTCAACATTTTACGATTGTATTCAACACGTTCGTATTGATGACATTATTCAATGAAATAAACTCGAGAAAAGTGCACAGCGAAAGGAATGTTTTGAAGGTTTGAGGAAACAACAAATTTGAGCCATTCAATATGAAAAGAATTTTCTGAATTTTTGAAAGTTCATAGTTGTGAAGAATGATTAATAGTAAGATCCATGCCGATCAATGCGATGCGTTAGATTAGGCACGGGGTTTTTGCATGATTCGCAGTTGCTCTTTTAATTCTTTAACGTCAATGAAATTCTTCAGGGCTTATTGAGTAATCGA